GTGGGAAACAGATGCAGTTTTTGGCCTACTAGCTTCATCAACAGGCAACTGCGATTAGTCAGAGAATAAATGTACTTATGTACTGAGCCTTGCCCATAAAAGTTAATATATTTTCTACATGAAGTAAAGGACACTTATGTAGTATTGTATTTGATTTGAGTTTCCACTAATCCAAAAGAATCTGGTCCCACAACAACTGGAGAGGCCCAAGAATTTATTGCAGGTTCAATAATATCATCTTCTAACAGTTTCTAAATATGCTTCTCTATTTCTTTTTTCTTCAGTAAATTATACTATAGGGAATATTGGTGAAGCTGCTGGAATGACAATATGATGAAAAATTAAGTCTGTACTTTCTAGGTGAACATCAAAAATGGATGCAAGTTCTTCCAATAACCTGTTTAACTCAATCTTCTCGAGTTCCAATAATTTACGTGATTCTACTTTCAGTAACCCTGATGAATGTAGCATATTCTGTCTCTCCAAATCATCATATAAAAACAAGTCACATGATTCAACCTCCAACTCTTCTAGCCGGACCTCATGCCCATTCTCAAATTATATGTCATAACACTTCCTCTCTTTACTTTGTTCATTTCTGGCATATTACTTACCGCTTTCTTACCAATAGCTCCTACAATTTTCCCAAGAAGTATATTTTCTTCCTTAATTATACCCAAACAATTTTATCAATATCTCCTTTAAGAACCTTAATGTCTGCATCCTCTATTTTCTCTGAATCATAAATATGAACTAAATCTTTCTTGTATTTCTAGCAATTTTTACGTGGATAGTATTGAATATCTGCAATTATTTCACAAGAAGCAGCACTCAATTTTACCTCATATTTGTTTTTCATTCCATTCTCTGTATTACTGTAAAGTTTGTGGATTTGTAAACGTTATGAGAAAATCTTCATCCTTGCAAGACAAAAGAAAATTAAGTCATACCATCAACAGGGCATTTTTGTGAATTAACCAAAAACCAGCTTCATATCCAGAGATTTAATATCCATTAAACCAGAAACCTAGGAATCACTGATCACAGAAACAAAAGCTCCAATACCCCCAAGAACTCTATAGTGTTTTTCACCACCAAAAGTCTTTACTTTCCAAAATAACAAAATATTCTCTTTGCATAATGGAAGAAAACTTCCCTACTGGAAGACTTCTATCAAATAATTTCTCCGAGATTTATAATAAGTAGAATCCCAAAATCTACAATGTCTTGTTTGATGACAAACTCTAAAACAACATAAATATTGACCTTTCATGGAAGAATATCTATTTAAAAACATTATCCAACCTCTCATGTTCTAAATAATTATCTCCAAGATTTATCATCAAATTATGTGATATAGTCAGTAATTCAGCAACTGTTACAGATGTTCCTTCATTATACAATGAAATCTTAAACTTATCAAATACATAACCCAAAATTATCTTAACCATTTCCTGTTCCAATGGGGGGTTACATCATTCACTTAAGTATTCCTAGCATTTTAACAACAAAAGCAAAGTATCATTTATCTGAAAAGTTTTATATAGCAGCTTATAGTTTTCATATGGCTTTTCTTTAAAAAGGCTTGTCAAAATCTTGCTACATACCCAACATAAGTGACACGATCATGAACCATTCATAAAAAGAGCTCTACCAAAAGCTGACAGCCTTTTTTTAACATATCATCTGGCAAATAATTACTTGTCTTATATATATGTTACATTCTTAAATCCATTGATCTGGAGATATATCAATTGAATCAGACAAAATAGTTATTTCATGAATATTTTTCAACCTTGTGAAATAAGTTTCTTGATTCTCAGTGTTTTGTGAAACTGAATCAGTTACATTATTAGCATTACCAAAACTACTTAAGAGGTTCAGTAGTTGAACACAAGGATTCCCTAATAATAGTATATATTTTTGGATAAAATAATCATATTTCCTAGTTTAAGTTCTAGTCATGACATCAATGATTGCTCTAAGTGAAACAAATCATCCTTCTGCCTATTTTTCCCAATCCATAAAAAATTTTTGTGGACCTGGATGGCCATTTCCAACAAGTCAGTTAACACAATTACATTTTTGGAACCAAGAATAAATGTAACAACCTTGTACTTTAGTCCTAAATGTGGATAAAATAATATCTATTGAAAGTATTACCAAAAATATCTGAAGAAGAAAAAAAGAAAGAAACAGAAACTCCTAATTGGTGTTCATATACATTATTTATTTAAAAAAAAAGGTAGTATGATGAAAACAAAACAAGACCAAATTAGAATAAATCTTCCCGTGGTCTTTTAACTTAAGTTACTGTCAATTTCCAGTCATATTTCATAAGGTTTCATCTAACCTTCTTAGTATAAACCATGGGTAATTCCCACACAACTTTGTTATTCACAATAAAGATTAACTTAGAAAAAATATCATTTCTGACAGTCAGTTGAGCCACCTACCCATACAGAATCAAAACCATCTGACAAAAACAGCAATACCATAGAATCAGGGGCTCTATATTAGACACTATTCTGCTAAATTCTCATGGAATTTACAATCATAGTTAACTATGATGACCAAAACTTAAGACGAAAAACATGTTTTAATCATCATCATTTGTTATACCTCAAGTTGCATGAAATCACACTGCCACTTCACCAACTTTGGCCTCTATAACAGCATTTATATAGAAATGTCCTTTGCAGAAGATTTAATAAATACAATTAACACAGTTTATAGTTATAAAAACAGCCAAAAATATAAACAGAAAATATAATAACAATTTTCAAGTTACTACAAATAATACATATAAACTAAATTATTCACATATAAAAACTTGAATCCCAACTCAAACAACAAGAGAAGTCTGATCCATCACACAAACTAGTGATCAGGCAGCATATTTGTGAATCATAAAAGTCAGCACTATCTAAAGAAATGATACAGCTGGCACACTAAGAGTCCATGACTGCATGACATAGAACATAATGTATTGCAAACTTAACAATCTCATTACACTAGACCATCTATGTGTGCAAGTCCAAAACCCCGGACATTTTAAGGAGGAAATGGATACAAGAGAATATAAAAAGAACTTTACAAAGAGATCTAGACAAATTGTATGAGAAATGACAATAAATTTACAGAATTCAAATTGAAAAACAAACTTATTTTCAGTCTCTATGCATATTATATTAAAATATGATTAAAGCATTCCTGTGCTATTAAAGTCACAAAGAACAAAAACAAATGATCCCCCAGCTACTAAATGTTAAAAATAAGGCTTGCTGCCATCATCTGCTGGTATTTTGGTTGTTTAATCAATGACTATTTAAAATTCACTAATTTGATGGTTGAAAATGCTAAATAATTAATATGATTAGTAGCTGGTCAGGTAGAAAGGACAGCTAAAAAATGAAGTAACATACTTTTAAAACTGCTTATGAAATTGAAATGAATGCTTGTCTCAATAGCTGTTATCAGGACAACAGAATAGAAAGCTACAGCCAACATGTCTGGCCACTCTATACGGGCCAGTCACAAACATTCCACTCTGTTAACTAATAACAAAACAAACATGTAACTGTAACATGAAGCCACAAGAAAAGTGAAGTTTCTTGTAGAAATTATTTTTTTGTAGCCTAAAGACTAACAACTTTGTCTATTTTAACCCCAATAATTAGAAATGCTAAAAAATTGTTTTCAAATCACGGAAAAGTGGAAATTTCCCAGATAAATACCTTTTGGTACAATTTTCCAACATACATCTGTTAAAATACATACAGCAACAGAAACTCATTAACCTCACTCCCTTTAATTGCTTAGATAAAAACATTACAATTTTCAAATGGTCTATAAGATCAAAGGGAAGCCACATAGTTAAGTAAGGCATAAGTAAACATACACAATTATAGTATGCTGTTTAAAATGGATAAGTATGTATGCTCTGAACTGCAGGCCATTCTTATTTAACAATTGAAGTCCTTTAGTGATTTTGATAGTGCTAGGCAGCACTAGCAGTACCAGATGCCCACTTACCCACTGCAGCAAGATCCTCAATATTCATGCACAAAATGCATACAAGAAAAACTGCAAAGCAAAAATACTTAGAATAAGAATCTTATTAAGGTATTTTTTCCCATGACACTTTGTATCATATCTAATCATTTTCTTTTGTTTCTACACGTTATCCTCTGCATTTCTTTTGCTGTTAGTCTATTTCACACCTGTAATCAAACTTACATTCTCATTACTCTTTTTAAATTCTGAAGCATGTTTAGGATATATACCTCATTTAATTGTCTGTAGCAAATGACGAAAAAACGTTCATACATGTTAACCATGTTTATGTCTTTCAATGCATCATACATACAATGTGGTTCTCAATTCAGAGAACATGCAACTTGCAAGCTAAATATTTGTGATACCTAATCCTTGCTGTACCATCAGAATACAATGTTATTATATATTTGATTTTTAGCTAGCCACATTTGACAAAGCTTTCTTTCTTCCAGTTCATCTCTTCCATTTTATTATTCATTTCATTAGGTCATCTTTTAAGCAGATTGAAATTAAAATTAGAAGTAAACAATGCAAAAAATTAGTTATGAATCACTACTAATATAAACCACAAAACCAAGAAATTTATAGAACAGTTCTGATCAAAATTATAAAGTACCAAATTAATTTTCTTAGTGAACAAAATAAAAAAAATCTTACATGCATTTGTTCTATTAATTTTGTCCATTCAGAAAATCATGTGTCGCTTCACGGCAGTGGCGTGAGAAACCTAACTTATCTTGTTACTGCTACTAGTGTTACATAGAAGTAGAACCAAGGTTAGCATTACAACTCACAAGTGGTTATAGTTATAATATTAATAGTAATACTCCAAATCCTATATACTGGACAGTATACTTCACAACTAAACTTCAACAACCGCTTAATCAAACATATGAGCTTTAAGATATGCATTAAAAATAAAACGTGCAATAATAGTTTACCTCATTTTCTTGCTTCACTGATTTCCATGGGTCTCCTACGAATTGTGCTAAAGGCATATTGGCCTCCAGTTTCATTCACACAAACACCTAATTTTATAACATACAAACAACTACAAGCCTATACTATGACCTTTTCCTCGTTTCCGCCAAAATGGCGATGCCGGAAACGGATGTTAAAATGTAAGAGAGAGACTAGCCTATTGTTTCAAAGGAAATATTCTACAGAATTTCTCTCAATAACATTTATCAAATGGTGCTAGTAATTAAGCAGTTTAAGAGACTAACTACCAATTTTGTACAAACGCCACAATTCTTCTTTGACAATGGATGTGAAACAAAATATCGTCTTCAGCATTAACATCGTATAAGTTCTCAGGTAGTGAAACGTAAATTTAATAAAGATGATTTTTGAAGAACTAAATTCACTTGACAGATCTTTTAAAACTTTTATTTTTATTTTCAAAAGAAGGATTTTTTTGCTCATTTCGCTTTTCAAATGCTGTGAGCCGTGTTTTTTTTTTATTTCGATACATGCAAAAATGTAACAGAAGAAAATACTTAGTTATGTAACTTGACTAGCTGGTGGGTTTATTGTTATTTGTATTATTACTAATGAAGCACTAATGGGCCTTAAACTCACAAATTAATGGTTTTATAACATGATTTATTTCAAATAATAGCAAAATATCATAAGTATATAAAAGCGGGAAAAAATTTGACTCACTTCTTATAACTTGTAATAATACAAAGTAAGGTAAAAAGTCATTTTAACTAAAACACTTTCACATAAAATGACAAAAAGCAGCAGTACTTATAATTATGATCACAATATTTCCTTATAGTTTCTTTCTTTTCAAATTATTAGTCACCCCCCCCCCAGGCTCAGCAATAAGTCTGATGGCTTAAAACTCTAAAAATCGGGTTTCCATATCCACGTTGGGTACATCATAGATGGCCCATTCTTTAACAATATGCTTAATAATGTTGTGACCTTGTTCTCTCGTTGGCAGTTTCTTTTAAATTATCTGGTGAAAGTAATTCAACGTCCAGTCCACATAATGATAACAAATTAGTTCATTCCTCCTTTAACGTTTCTACAAGCTTAAACACTGTGATAAGTTGCAGATCACGTTTACAATCACACCAGCTGTACTGCACTAACTAAAAAGATCAACTTACTTGTACAAAATAACTCAATAGACGTGATAGATATCACAGATCCAAATACTTCACTAAAAACACACTGACTGATTCAATCCACCTTCTAAAAACAACTCTCTATCTTCTCAACTATCTTTTTTTTATGTTTCACTGAAACCCAGTATATATATATAATCTACTCTCGAATTTACTAGAAAACATAACGTCAAATCTTTAGAACTCTCTAGGCCTATATTAATATCATCATTATGACCCGCAGATCACTCTAGATAACAAACAAATTACAACATTAAAATATGATTTACAACACATCCCCTTTTTGGATTGTGAAGTCCCTTGAACAATTATACTACAGAAATAAAGCACTACACTAAACTGTCTATTCACCAAGTATTTTTGACGATTTTCTCTTCCAATGCCCATAATATACAGATGAGATGGCATTTGTCTCTTGTTGTTTCTGGGTGAGTTCTCCCTAAATAAATGGTCGGATAAATTCACTGGTGACTCCGATCTTAATTATTCTATGGAAGTAGTTTTGACAGGAACTCCAGGTTGAGCTTCTGTTGACAAGTTGTTCTCTGAGGTTACCCAGTTGGCCATTCTCTTACCAACTATTTCCTAAGCCAATCATTATGATAACTTTAACTTAGATCGCCCCATCCTTCTAGAATCTGTGTAACACATCAATGATTCTCTTCAATACAGCATACATTGCTGCTTAACCTTAGAGTTTATCCTTTCTTGTAACAGGGATTGTATAGCCAAAGCATGTTATCTCGATGAAATCCCTTCTTATTAGCATCAACTTTTCAATTTATCACTAGCTGATTTAAAGCTTTCTCTGGTAAAAATCATGTATGACATCAATTGTATTCCTTAATCTCTTAACATATTCAGTTTAAGACTATTCTGAATGATAAATCTTTGGACGAGGGTACAGAAAGTCTAATGGCACTTTAAGTTATTTCTCAAACATCAATGATGATGGTACATAGCTGGTATGCTGTAAAATCAATTAGCCATGTATATTTCTGAACATCTAAAGATCTTCCACTGTTATTCCGTGGTTGTATTTCTTCACCATACCATCAGAAGATGGAGGAAGAATAGTGTTACCAAATCTCGTGAGAAAAATAAACTGCACTGCCATTCAAAACAAGCAACACTGTTTTTAATAAAAGCCCAAAACTGCTCTTTTATGGTTTCCTCTCAAAATGTTGATTTGTGCAGCTTAATTGAAATATAGAATGTGTCAAGTGGACAAGCCAGAAAGTTCACGATTGTGGGTGTGTTTTTTAAATGAAGAGGAGTGGGGATAGGATGATTCTAAAATAGGCTAATCATTGGCACAGTCAACAACCAAAACCACTCCTACAACTATTTTCCTGTGTGTTGAAGTCAGCTCTTTCAAAAAGCCCAAATAAGCGACCTTGGAATAAAACAAACCCAAAAAACTGCAACCATAACTCTAAAAAAATAAAGCAGCTTTATAAAACAAACCCAGTTCCACTTATTATAAGTGGAATTGTTCTGATGTTTTTAATCCCATGGATCTGGCACATTTCCACAAACAAGTCTGATTCAAAGTTTCATCCCTGATCTGAGTGACGTTCCATGGACACACCAAATCTTGAAACAAATTCGTTGATGAGTTTCCTTGGTGCTTTCTGGATAGGGAACAGCATATGCTTCTGACCATTTGGTGAAATATTGAATCACAACCATGATGCATGCATTCCCACTGTTACTCTGTAGCAGAAGACCAAGCACATCAACAGAAACTCTCTTCAGTGGTGCTTCAATATAAAGCTGTTGTAGCTGCTCATGCTGTTTCTTTCATGAACTCTTTTACGCACATCATAGTTCACTTGTTTTACACTAGTTCTCCACAGACCATGGCATTCAACCCAGTAGAAGTGTTTTTTACTGGCTTCAGTGTCTTTATAACACCTAAATGCCCAGCCATTGGAAGGTTGTGGGGACGATGGAGTGTCTTAAAATGTAGAGACTGTGGAAGTGCCAACTATAGACATTATTTCTGTCTACTGGCATTTTCTCCTTTCTGATATATAAAATCCTTTTGTAAACATAAGGAATCCCATTGTGATCAATACATCTTTAGCTATATGGAGCGATCTTTGTCATGAGGTTCTTTCTGCACTATTCTTGGGTCATTGAATAATTGATTTTATACTCGTATCTTTTTCCTGAGCAGCCATCAGTTGAGTGTTGTACCACAATAGTTCTTCATCATCACTTGTGAAGGGACATTTTGGACTACACTTTGCTTTACTTTAGATTGGTACTCCTTTCTATCCTAGTTTTCCTTTTCTTACAGTGTTTACACTCTTCATTAGCATTTAGTCTTTAAGATAATGTGTCAGCATTTCCATGGTTCTGTCTAGAGTGATGAACAATGTTGAAGGTGCACTCTTGAAGGTTCTCAATCCATCTTGATATTCAGCCTTCTGGATTACGAAAATTTACCAGCCACTTTAATGCTGCAATAATCTGTTTGAAGTGCAAACTTTTGGTCATACAGATAATGATTAAAGTGATTCATGACTCGAACAACACTAAGTAAGCTCATTTCAAGTTGTACAGCAGCTCCTTTCTGTGGCATTCATTGCATCTCTATAGTATGCAGTCACGAGTGTTGTACTTGTGACAAACCTGCTCCTACAGCAAAATTACTAGCATCCATATCTAAATTGAGTAAACCTTTCAGAGTTGGGTATGCCAACTCCATCTTCACTTTATTGAATGTTTTTCCCAATCACAGGTCAAACAAAACTTATTTGACTTTAAGTAGTTTGTGTACAGGGCAAGCTAAGACAGAGAAAGATTTACAAAACAACGACAGTAGAAGAACAGTGAACCTTCAATGGATCTATATACTATATGCCCCAGGAAACTCACCTGTTGATGGAATAATTCCCATTTCTGGGGATTCAGTTTAAGGTTCTCAATTCTTCAGCCAGTCCAGCACTTTCCTTAGCCATTGAAAATCATTATAATTTGTCTTCCCATGTACAGTTATGTAATCCAAGTAGATGAGTGCAACATTCCAGGGTATTTCGAATAGAGCACACTTCATTATTTGTTGGAATGTAGCAGGACCATTATATAATCGAAATTATAACACGAAAAATAGCAAAAATCCATTTCCTGTGATAAAGATTGTCTTATCATAGGCTGTAAATTTACTTGAAGCTAGCCTAGCCTTACATCCAAGTCTTCACATGAAAGCAGTTCGCAATATGCACTCTTCTTCAATGTCAATTATCCCTACATCACATGCAGATAGAATTTTCATATTGTAAGGGTTACTTCCAATTTCCTTTTTGCTAAAACTTTATCAACACTTGCTTTTCATATCATTCCCTCTTCTTTCTTCATATTTAGAGGCAGTTTCCCACCTTTCATTACCAAATTGGGTTTAACTATTATAGCTGTAGAATCAAGACTTCCAATCAATAAACTCATGGACTCGTGGATTGGTTTCTTTAAACAATGAGATTTTTATCTCATTTGGGGAAGATAGATTTGTCCCATAAATCTAGCTAATTCTCGTTTCCTGATGTCTTATTAGCCCTTTGTTGTACCCTCGATTTCGTTGCTCGAAGATTCATCCTTAGAGTATTGTTTCCTTGGTCCTAACAGCTGTTGATTTTTTACAGTCTCGGCTACAAAAGCCATATTTTTCACATCTATAGCAATTCCCTCTTTCTGGTGTTC